GCGCCTGACAGCAAGGCTGTTCACGTCCCCGGCCGCGGGTCAGGGGGTAAAGCAGCGCCGCCTGCTGTCTAGGTAAAGATTAGAAATCCTGTCTCCTTCTCTAACGGCCCAAGCAGACATGCACAGGGGCTGTTTCTCAGGAGTCCTCCTGGAGAAAGGCACACAGAGGCCTAGTCTGTCACCCCTCAGCTCCCAGTGTCCCTGCGTGGGGCCAGGGACGGGGGTGGTCCCTGGGTGGGCAGGCTGGCACAGGGTTAAGGTGTTGCTTGAAGGACACAGAAGACCGGGGTAGGAATAAGGAGTCCGGAAACCTGCACACTGCTCTCCCCAGCACACGTCCGTGCTGACAAGATCGACTGAGGGGCGGCTTGCACCTGGGAGCTGGATTCAGAGCCCGCCCGAGGCTCCCTCCCAGTCAGCGTGAAGGTTGCTTTCCCTCTGGGCCCCAGGGGGCTGAGAGACGTTGAAACGAGTCAGGACCTGGAGAAGATTCCAGCAGATCATACCAATCTACTTGTATCCATAACTCAGAATGCTTCAGGCTCACAATAGGAATGCAGTTCAAGGACCCTGTAGTAACCCACCTCAGTGAACCCCAGGCAACCACCACGTAGTAGCCAATTCAGACGTAGCCATTTCATCAATGCACCTGGACCGGATCCATTAGCCTCAATGTAGTCTTTCTGCACTGACCCACATGTGGCCTCCGCGTACCTACTGTCCTTGTTTCATAACTTCTGTAACTGCTGACCCACTGCATTTATTTTTGAAATTGCTTGTGATGCTTGGAACCCCCTTTATTTCATAAGTTCCCATTTCTCCACATGGCAAGACCGCACCTGCCCTTGTGCCCCGGCTATTCCTCAGTAGAACAACTCCCCTCTTTAAGCATTCAGGGACGAGCATGAATTAGACTTTAAATAACCTTGTCTGGCTGCTAATCGAGGCTTTTCAACCTCAAGCCAAGTTGTGTGGGGGTTACTTGACCTCCTCCTGGCACCCCTCCAGGCAATGGGCAACTGCCTGGACAACACTCCCCAGAGAGACCACAGAGTGGATGATGCAGAGGAGAAGACCACTGACGTCCTCTGTCTTGTTACCGGTGCTGGTTCCATGTCACTGACTAGAATCCCATTAAAATAAGGGGAGATGCATTCAGAAGCCCCCGGAGGAGATCGCAGAGGGGTGACCAGGTTCCAGAGCTGCATGCTCAAGGCAGCAGATGGCTAGTCTTTGGCCCAGGGGTCAGTTGCTGGGTTTGCACAAACACCCTTTCCACCCACAGCCCAATATGGAATCCATGGCACCCCAGGGCCCTGACCGCTGACAAGGACTACAGTCCTGACCCCTGACACGACCCGACGTCCATGTGGGCTTGGAGCTACAGGGACTCAGCTCCAGGCCTGGCGGGGTGCTCAGTGTGCAGAGTGTGGAAGGCAGGCTGGTGGGGGCTCAGGCTGCAGCATTCCAGCCAACTCCCTAACGTCCAGTTAGAGAGGAAGAAAGAGAAGTTGTCTTCCTTGGTTTCCCGAGAGCAGGCAGCCATCACACAGGGCGTTTTCGTGGTGCCCTGTGTGAAATCAGGATCCCTGGGAAGCTCATGCCCTGGAAGGGACACTGTGGGCAGTCATGAACAGGCCTTTGGCCTTCACTCCATTTTCAGGAAGATTGTGGAACACAGGATGCCCTCTGGGCAAGCAGAGAGAACAAGAAGGTTCTCTCAACCCTGTGTTCCCAACGTCTCCATTGGCCCACCAGTTATACCTGGAGCCGCTAACAGGAAGGCCGGCAAAGTGCACCTGCCAGCTATTCCTGAGAGAACCAGGAAGCTCCCTGCTCCCATGGAGACAGACAGGACTGGGCAGCTGAGGGGCAGCTCTACTCTGTCCTGTCTGGTCCAGGGGT